ATTTAGAGAACAAAGTCAAACAACGTGTGATATAAACACATGATTTAATTGTTTTTCTTCTACACATCAGATGAGCTCATGTTCCTATTCGTGTAGTTATTCTTCACCTGAACTAACCTTCTGCCTCTGGCTCATGGTTTCTAAATCATTGCTAGCCACTGCTGTAGTTTTTCCCTTTTCACGGTGCTAAGATAACTTTTACACTCTAAGCTGGCAGCATCACAGGAACAGCTAAATTAGATTTTTAAAAATCTTTCTTGAGCTACTTCATGGCTTGAAAACCACAGCCGTCCCATTCCACCAGTACACAGTGGGGCAATGATTACTGTAGACGTCACGTATCTAGAAAAAGTTGGCCGGTCACCAGTGTTTGATGAAGTAAAATGCATTTTACAGACATGAATGCATGCATATGAATATTAATGCACAAGTCATCTGAGATACAGTCGCTCAGTGAGATTTATCTGTTGTAGGACCATGGAGACGAGACAACAAAGAGTCTGGTCCTGCTGTCTACCACTCTGACGGTAACTACCACTATAAACCAAGTATAACGTGCATAAAGCCTCATGTTGGTTTAGTTGTAATCCTGAATGATGGTCGATATGTTGAACACAGTACGTCTGAGCTGCCATGTCTGTTTCTGTGCCTCGTGTGTCCAGACAACTACGAGTGGACCACATGGTTCAACGTTGACCACCCTGGAGGCCGTGGAGACTACGAGCAGCTCGATGCCATCCGCTTCTATTACCGTGCCCGAGTGTGTGAGACTCCACGGGCAATCGAAGCCAGAACCACCGAGTGGGTCCCAGCTCGTGAGACTGGGGAGACCGTCCATGCCGACCCCACTGTGGGCTTCTGGTGCCTCAATGAGGAGCAAAGTCCCGGACGCAACTGTTCCAACTACGCAGTCCGTTTCCTCTGTCCCAAAGGTCTGGTGACCACCATCTTTACTGTTCATTCCGATACCAAACACACGAGTGTTTAGTTAAAGGTTGACTTTATGCTGTAATTCACATGCAACTCATATTAAATAATCTTTCTTCTCTGAGTGATGGTTTGAATATGATCGGTGTTCTTTTCTCCATCAGATACCAGTGTGATCATTCAGGGTACCTGGGGTCCATGGTCAGACTGGAGTCCCTGCCCCGCCCTCTGTGGTCAGGTGGGAGTGCAGCTTCGGCATCGAAACTGTCAATCCCGCTCGACGCCTTGCAGTGGGCCAAAGGTAGAAGGGAAAGCGTGCAATGGACCTGAGTGCCCAAAGACAGGTAAGCTAGCTTTGGTTTAGCTGGACGGGCTCTTCTGCAGTTCTTTTCATTCGGGCCCTGAATTAGCATAGACTTGTCATTTTGCAAAAAGGAACTGCTATCCCATAAGCCACACAAGTTTGTCTGTTTTGTCCAACTCTTTAGATTGCTCCCTGCACTGCGTGATGGGGAAAGTGAACGCTGACTGTGATGCTTGTATGTGTGAAGAGCACATCCTGCTGGGTTCAGTACGCAGCGCTGGAGGTCTCATTGCTGAAGGGGCCACCATCCTTCGTTCAGGCAAACTCCTTACCCTCACAGACCACAACGGACATTTCCGCATCCCTGGTATCTGCCCTGATGGCAACACAACCTTGAGCATCCACCTGCAGGGTCACACCCCCCTGAATGTGGTTGTGCCCAACAGCGCTGAACGCACCTCAGTCCTCAGTGTCCAGCTGAAAAGAACTGGTACAGTAAATATCTGCATCAGGCTTTGAGTCTCATATTTACAGACAGGAGATTGTTGAACATGCAGAGAAGCTCAGAGGTAATCTGTTGTTCTGTTTCTGTTGTTAGAGAAGCTTCATGTGTTGAGCAACCCTGAGAGCAAGGCCAGGAGGGAAGGAAAAAGTGCTGCCTTCTGCTGCAAAGTGGCAGGAACGCCACCGCCAGACAAGTACCAGTGGTAGGACTTGTTATGTTGAAGTTCTAACTCACAGATGATACCACTGTAGAATCCCGTAGAGTCATTTCATGCTTCACGCCTCTGAATCTGCCATGTGTGTGTTCTTGTGTGGGAACCAACAGGTTTCACAACGACAGTCTCATGGAGAAGCAGTCTGAGAGCACATTGGTCCTAAAACATCTGCGTCCTGAGCAGGCTGGGGAGTACCACTGCAGAGCAAGTGGTCCATCTGGGGCTATTAAGACCAAACCAGCCACCCTCAGAATCTTAGGTGTGTTCTTGATAACGCATGCTGACACAGAGCGCTGAGTGTTGTCAGTGGGGTTCATCCTATATTTTGCTTTAATAAATGCTGAAACTACATTTTATTTCTACATCTCAACCACAGGTAAGGATGAGCCTTCTTGCAACCCCAAGCCTGAATCCCACCCCATCCGTCTTCCACATGACTGCTATCAAAACAGCACAGGCTCATACTACTACGATGTGGGCAAGTGTCCCTCAAGCACATGTGCCGGACAGCTGGACAGTGGCATCAGGTGCAAAGACAAAGTGGCCTACTGCTGTGGTGTGGCAAAGATGGAGGAGAGACAGCTAACATGCCAGGGCTACCAGCTGCCCGCCATGGTGGTGACCGAATGTGGCTGCCAGAAATGTGTGGAGACCAAGGCCATTGTGCACGGTAGGGCCATTGCTGCAGACAATGGTGAGCCAATGAGGTTTGGCCATGTCTTCATGAATGGAGTCAGAATCAGCCGCACAGGCTACAAAGGTACTTTTTCCATCCAGGTCCCTCCAGACACTGAGAGGCTTGTTCTAACGTTTGTGGACAACATGCAGAAGTTTGTCAACACCACAAAGGTGCTTCCATTTAACACCAAAGGAGGAGCTGTTTACCATGAGATCAAACTTCTAAGAAAGAAAGCTCCCGTGACCATCAGCTCAGCAGAAACCAACACTCTGGAGCTCGGCGAGGTAGAAGACCAGGAGGCAATGGTTCAGATCGAGATTCCTCCCCATTCCTTCTATAAGGAGAATGGAGAAGTCTTCACAGGTAACGTCAACGCTAGTGTAACATTTCTTGACCCCAGAGACGTCTCCACAGCTGCTGCAGCACAAAGTGATCTGAACTTTGTTGGAGATGAAGGTGATACTCTGCCACTGAGAACATACGGCATGTTTTCAGTCGACTTCAGAGGGGAGGAAAACAACGAGCCCCTGAACGCAGGGGAAGTAAAAGTGTTCTTGGATTCTGCTCAGGTGAGGATGTCTGAGCACCTCAACACCATGAAGCTTTGGTCTCTGAACCCTGAAACTGGCCTGTGGGAGGAGGAGGGAAGTCTGCAAGTGGAGAAGAAAAGAAGAGGCAAAAGGGAGGAGAGAACCTTTTTGATTGGTAACATGGAGATCAGAGAGCGACGTCTGTTTAACCTGGATGTCCCGGAGAACCGCCGGTGTTATGTGAAAGTGAGGGCCTTCCGTAGTGAGCGCTTCATGCCCAGTGAGCAGGTGGAGGGCGTTGTGGTGAGTCTCATAAACATGGAGCCCACAGCTGGCTACTCCTCAAACCCACGTGCCTGGGGCCGGTTCGATAGTGTCATCACGGGCCCCAATGGAGCCTGTCTTCCTGCCTTCTGCGATGAACAGAAACCTGATGCCTACTCTGCCTACGTTATGGCCAACCTCGGAGGGGAGGAACTGGAAGCCGTCCCTTCTGCTCCCAAACTCAATCCCAACCTCGTTGGAGTTCCTCAGCCTTATCTGGGTAAACTGAACTACAGGCGCACTGACCACGAGGACCCCAGAGTGAAGAAGACAGCATTCAGCATCAATGTGGCAAAACCGAGTTCCAACGCGGCCGACGAAGGCAACGGACCAGTGTACACGTTTGAGAACTTGAAAGAATGCGAGGAGGCCCCATTCAGTGCAGCACACTTCCGCTTCTCAAGAGTGGAAGGCGACCGCTACGATTACAACACGGTGCCATTCAATGAAGACGATCCAATGAGCTGGACAGAGGATTACCTGAGTTGGTGGCCTAAGCCCATGGAGTACCGGGCGTGCTATATCAAGGTCAAAATCACTAGCCCACACGAGATCAATGTGCGGTCCCGCAACATGGGTGGCACCCATCCCAAGACAGTCGGCCAGCTGTACGGCCTCCGAGACACTCGCAGCATCCGTGACATGGACCAGGCAACTGTTTCAGCTGTGTGCCTGGAGTTCAAGTGCAGCGGGATGTTGTATGATCAGGAACGTGTAGATCGTACCCTGGTGAAGGTCATCCCACAAGGAAGCTGTAAGAGAGACAGTGTCAATGCAATGCTCCAGGAGTACCTGGTCAATCACCTGCCTCTAGCAGTCAACAATGACACCAATGAGTTCACCATGCTGGCGCCTCTTGACCCGCTGGGTCATAACTACGGAATTTACACGGTGACGGACCAGGATCCCCGCACAGCAAAGGAAATTGCACTTGGGCGCTGCTTTGATGGCACTTCTGACGGTACATCTCGAGTCATGAAGAGCAACGAGGGCATAGCGCTGACGTTCACCTGTGGAGACCGTGAGGTGACCCGCCAGAGCGTCTTCCAGGCCGTGCAAGGTTCTCCAGGTCAGACAGTAACGAGCGTGGTGAGAGGAGAAGGCAGGCAGAACCGGCGCCGGCAGCGGGCCAACACACCCCGCAGCAGCCGTAAACGCAGCACCAGAAATCCTGCAGGGAGACGTGCAGAGGCCAGGAGCTAAACAGCACTGAAGGAGACAAAAGGAACACCTACAGCGGAGACGGGACTGAACGGTGTTCCCCCAACATCTAGGTTCAAACATTTTATATTGACTTTTCTTTTTTGTTCAAACTAAGTGAATACATAACAAAGTTAGGTCCATTTCTTGCTTCTTCCCAGTTAATGTTTTTCTCCCACTTTACATTTTCAACTTTACTGTGGTAAATACTTACTTGAAACTGTAAATAGAGTATTTATTACACAGGTCTTACAAAGCAGTGAGCTCTTCTACTGGTTGCTTTCATCAATGTTGTAAACAAGAACAAACACAACGTGTCCTTTTGACCAGTGATTTATTAAATTAGATGCTTATAAAACACTGCAGATGCTGTCCCCACATTGAATGTATCCAATTGTCCATGTAACATTGAAACTGGTCAATTGCTGGAGAAGAAAAGGAGAAACAGGCCCCTTTCGACTACCTGTAGCCCATATGAAGACATGGTGGGGTGAAGCCCAGAAGCCCCCGCTCCTCATCACACTTGATACAAGCCTGCAGAAGCAATGATTAGGAGACCAGTTAGAGCAAGTTAGTCCACTTGCCTGATCCGTACGTTTTCTGCATTAGTAGAAATCAAATTAGTAAATTACATTTTTGTCATGCACAAAAAATACCTATAAGCACTCTTTGCTCTGTATTTTCAAGGATATTCCAGAGATGTATCAGAGAATGGCTGTGAGGTTTTAAAGTCACATTTATTATACTTGTCTATCCCTTTTATCTTACAGTGAATGTCATGTGCTCTCTGTAAAATTATAACTACTACTTACATGATGAGTCAGTCTCAAATCACCTAAAATGCAACCTTTCCAGAGATAAAGATGAAGGATGTACTGAATAATTGTTCTGCATTTGGCAACCAAAGTTATAGATACTATATACACTTTCCTGTGAGGGAAGCCTCCACAGGTCAGTGAGACCTATAATATATATACATGACATTCTGGTTAGAGAATTTGCATAGAACCTCATGTTTCTATGTCACTACACTTATAACTGCAATACTGTATCTGGCATTTTGACAGGAGCAGCATTTAATAAAAAAATTAGCCCCGCAAAACTCCAACAACAGCAGTTACCGTGTATTTTCCATTGAAGCTGGGTTACCCAACAGGTGTCACGAGTGTGAGTGTGTGTGTGTGTGTGTGTGTGTGTGTGTGTGTGTGTGTGTGTGTGTGTGTGTGTGTGTGTGTGTGTGTGTGAGAGAGAGTCGAGGCTGAATGAGACAGAGAAAAGGCAATTCCATATGTAAGAACATAGAGTGGTGAGACTGGATGCTTCCTGGTAGAGTCCCTCTGGTCACTGAAGCAAAATGAAGGGGGCAACATATAGTTCAGATTCTCCAGGATGGCACTGGACAGCATTAGAATGTACAGCTGCATTTCTGAGGGTGGGGAGGGGGAAAGGGCCGTGGCGATGGAGCCAGTGTCACATGAAGTCCTCATAGTCTTGGGCGTAGCCGCCGTCAAACTCTGCATAGTCAAGGTCATCTCTCATCTGTGCTTTCAAACCGCCTCCAGGTACAACACCTTTCTTCTTCTTCTTTCCTTTGTTTTGCTGTAAAGGCAAATAAGTCACTTTAAACTATATGACAACACATCATATATGACTACAGCTCTCTGATTTGATGTCAACCCTCTGGTTGAACTACGTGACAAACCAGTGTTTTCCCAGCACATTATAAATATATGACATCAATCATGAGACTTGAACAATAAATGTGTACATGGAACACACACTGGGCACCGGGATCAGGAGAAGAGAGCCCCTACTGCATACAAACTACTCATCCATCCATGAGAAAATAAAAGCACAACTTACTTTTTCTTGTTTCTGTTTTTCACTAAGTAGAACTGACAGGGAATTACTGATTTTCTTCAAGTCATCTACTTCCACTGCAAATAAGGAGAAGATGAGCTGTTAGCCAAGCCTCTGATTGCAAATTTAAGCTACGAATAACAATCTCAGGCAGTAATACTGTTCAGTAGAAGCTGTAAAAGACGCTTACATGAAATACAAAGTTCCCGAAACAACGAATCCAAGAAACTTGAATAATGCACAGATTTTTCAAACTGGGTTATCTTTTCTTTCAGCACTTTTTCGAACTCTGTGAAGTCTTCTTTGGAAGATGGACACATGGCATCAATCCCAGTGACACTGTTTGAGGTGCTGCTGACGCCTGAAAAACAGAAAGAAAGGCAGTCTGGTGACGTGCAGTGTCCAGTGCTGGGTACAGCTCACCTCCAGGGTGGTGCTGTTGAGTGAAGCAGCTCTCTGGTGGAAACCTGGCATTAAATCTGAGTGCCTCATTAACTTATTACAGATGAGTATAAAAACTCACACTGATGTCTACGTCAGCTAACAGGTACCTAGACATGTCAAAACAGGTTTGAGGTTCTTTTAAAAACTGTGTCAGCTTTACATGGTTTGTCCACCAGAGAGCACTGACAAGCTGCACAATAAAACACTGGGATCAGAACTCATCCAGCATCACCTGGACTACAGACCACATGGTACTAATCCTCAAGCCAAAGAATGTGGTGATCCTAATACTTATCAGGCAGACAGTACTTAAAAAAATAAAATTAATTATAAGATAGATAGATAGATAGATAGATAGATAGATAGATAGATAGATAGATAGATAGATAGATAGATAGATAGAACTGAGTAGTATTTTTAAGAGTAAAATAAAAATTAATTTGTATGTACATATTGTGCTCACCAGATATGAGGGAAACACTCTCTACATCACTGCTTGCTGACATCATGTTTAAAGCTGTTTAATTCAACACACTTCACTAATGACATCTTTTTTTAGTGGTAACTCTCAGAACCACACATAACCTGTGATGTGTGTGGTTCTGGCTACGATAGCAGTGCTGTGTGTTCAGGTGTCTCTGGGACGTAAAAGGAAGCAGGCAGCAGTGAAGCAGAGTCTTTGGACAGTTCAGGTCAAGCCCTGACTAAACATTAACTATGAACAGCAGCAACCTGTTAAACTCTACAGTTGTTTAGTTTTATGTAAAGAAAAAGTGCAGTTATGGAAGACTGCTGGGAAAACTGGAGTTTTACATTTGAAGGTTTCTGACTTTGCAAGCTGTTCACATCTTACCAAATGCATCTTTTGCTAGTTCCAGGTCTGCGTCTTCCTGTAATTTCTTCACTCTTAACTTTTCTGCGAGTTGGTCTTCAGGAGTGAGATCTTCTTCCTGTGATAACAGATGTCAGAATTACATCATGATTACTGATAAGAACAATCTCCAGTATTAGAAAACAGTTAAAGACACACAGGAATAAAGAAAACAGCTCACCTGTGTCTCCATCTCTTTTAGCTCCTGCTGTTTTTTCTTTAGCCGGTTTTCCTTCTCTTTGATCTTTTCACTCAACTTCTTCTTTTCAGAAACTTTCATCTCTGAAAAAAATATAGAAATAAGAAAGTATTTGAATTTGCAGCCACTAATCACCCACAATGCATTCTGGTTTAGAATCCACAGTGAATACACACCTGCTTTCTTCACCTCTGTTTTTTTCTCATCCTCTTCATCCTCATCATCCCAGTTGTCCTGTGAATGAAAAAAAAGATTTAAAAGTTGGCATTATATTATGCAGGACACACAGACACAGACACAGACACAGACACACACACACACACACCTCTATGAAGCGACTACCTGCTGGACAAACTAATTAAAAATGCATAATGTGGACTCCCAGCATCCAGGACAACATCCCTACATGTCTTAGACTGATCAGAACTCTACCACATCCTATAAACAACCTTACACGTTTAAAAAATACAATAAACTCAGTGAATTGACAAGCTGGACAATTTTTTTTGTTTTTTAATTTGAAAACAATATTATAAATAAAGTTGTTAATTAACTTTTGGACAACCAACTTCTAATTGTGTCATTTCTAGTCCTAACAGCTCTTGGAGACGTCTCCAGACCAACACAGTCACTACATGTGGGCAGCGCCGGGTGTGTCCATCCACACTAATACTCTGTAATGCCAATAACTCATTAGTTCATTCATCAGATTCTGGTGGAAGCAAACGGTGTGTCTATATTACGCTGCTCTGTAAATGCTTGTTCTGAAATAAATGAATCAGATCAAGATGTACTTAAAATAAAGTACATAAACTGCAGTTCTTTACGGTCTGGGACATCACTTTCATTCTGTGTGTCCTGCATTCATCTCCCATGTTCTGATCTGCTGTGTGTTGTTTCAGTGAAATATTAACATTGATCCAGAGAGAATCAGTTCAACAACACCTGCCGACTACATACTGCTTTAGTAAAGAACTAACACACAAAAAAACACACCACTAGTACCTGGGTCTGACCCAAAAACAAGTTCAGACACGTAGACCAAGGCCTGCCCAGTAGCCACTGATATAATCCACTCAGTCACTGATAACACTGTAAATACAATACTTTCCATTCATTTAACTAAAACCTTCCCACACACTAGTTCTGTTAAATCCACTGCTTAAACTGTACATGGAATAAGTAAAGGTTAAAACTAACCTCCTCAATGAGCTCTGATTAGCAGCCAGCTGTGTGTTCATCCTGCTTTATAATCAACAAGAACTCAATACAAACCACTGGGGATTACACATTCAGTTATTCTGGGCACTAGCTCATTGTGTTAGTCCCTGATTGGCATCAACACACGAACCCTGACCTCTACATGAGACGTGGTTTAGAAAGAGGACGTGAAACCAGCCTGTCTGTGGTTAAAGCACCATATGTGACAGAAAGCCGGACAATCGACGAGGCCTCTGCCAGCACTTTCCACGGCTCAATTATCGGAGGTTTCTGGACAGAAACCGGCCGACAGTCACGTACTGGCCACTTGTATTGCGATATCAACTGAGCAGCAGATTCCTACACGCCTGTTGTAAAGTCGGAAAGTTCTAGGCCTGGTTCTTGGCTGAGTTGAGTCATCAACGCAGATGATGATTTCATCTGACTGGGGCTAAAGTTGGTTAGCATGCTAACGCCGCCTCATGTTGAATGTGACTCGAGCTGAGGGAACTCGAGGCTAGACACAAATGCTAATCTCCTGTAATCATTTAATGCAGCCAACTTTGGGCAACGACGGGATAGACTGCAGTCCACATTAACCACACACTTCCAAGCCACTTAACGACGCTATCATCGAGGTTACCTAACATTAAAGCCCATTTTCAGACGTAAGCTGACACCGGAGCTAGCACGCTCGCTAGCTAAGTGGCCCGGCGAGAGGTTAGCTTCATGCTACGCTGTGAAAATTTAGCCCGACTGTCCGTGAAATACGTCGCCAACATTTTAACTCCCCAATAACAAGAAACACAATTCGCGTCCAGAAATTATTTTTAATCCACAACAATCAGATGGCACGTTAACAGTTACTGTATGAACGGTACGTCGCGACTGTTGAAACCGGAATAGTAGCCTCCCGTTAGCCGCGCTGGAGTTACTACAGGCTGCCCAACGGAGCCACATGAGTTAGCCGGCAGCTAGCTCGAAGCTAACACGGTGTCGGCGGTTGACAGGCAGCCAGAAACCGCGGTGAAGCATGGCACGGCAGCCGAGCCGACAACGTTTCAGCCCGACAGTTAGCTCGAAACCTGCCGGCTCAAAGCTCACAAACGGCGACAGCTAGCACTGTAGCGGCGGCAGCCACGAGAACCCACCTTAACGTCTTCATCTTCGTCTTCGCCTTCCCACTTGTCCAGCCCTGCCGCCTTTTTAATCGGCTCCTCCGGCTCGAAGTTGTCAGCGTCTGTAAAAACGACAACATGAAATTCGTTAGACCGATCCACATCTACAGGCCGAGTCTGGCAATAACGGAGAGCTAGGCTCGTAAAACAAAAGCAGCGACGAGCGGATGGTCTACAGAAAGCTCTCCTTCCAACTTAGTTTCTCACCCCAGTCCGCCATGTTGGCTGTGTTGCTTGTGTTTGACAGGCTCGCGGTGGAGTCAGTGCTGCAGCCCGTTGGCCACGTTCAGAAGCTGCTCCCACCTTCTGGACGTCATTCCGGGCTTATCTAATGTCCCCGGCGCGCAGCACGACACCGATCCTGCTCCTATCTTTTATTCATGTCAGTAGTAAACAGCAGGAGGACAGCGACACGTTAGATTAGAAATCAATAAAGTTATATCTCATCTCATCTGATCTAATCTGACCTGCCATCACAGAACTCACTGAACAACTTCACTGGACCACATGTTTAGCAGTTTGGATCAAATCACAGCACAGTGAAGACATTTGTCTTTTTATTGTTATTATTATTTTTAAAAGTCAAAACTTTGAATTTATGTCTTAATCGTGACTCGTTTTGCTGACATCACATAACATGAAGTAAAATAAATGGAAATTACTTTTTTATAGCAATTTTGAAATATTCCCCTCTGCTCACAGACAGACAGATAGATAGATAGATAGATAGATAGATAGATAGATAGATAGATAGATAGAACATAGAACAGGAACAGGTATATCATACTGAGTGAAAAGGTGAACAGGTAGAATACAGAACAAGGCTCGATTCTAGAGGAAAGGCTCCACAATATTGCTAAGAAATAAATCAAGAGCCGATAACCGCCAGATTTGTTTAATTTATTAATTTAGGTCCATATTAATCACACTGGAGAGTGTGCACAACAATACAAAATTCACAGCAACAAAAAAACTGAAGTTGATCAACACTGATAGCATCAGGTCTGACGGAGCTGTGTGTCCCTGTTACATAAGAGAACTCACAACAGATAAAGAAATGTCATTTCACAGAAGTCTACAGCTTTGTGGGTTTGTAATAATACCTTTATGTTCACGGTCAGGTTTACACCTTTACATGTTGGACTGCTTGTCTGGATATGGCTTCACATCCCTGAGAATCAGGACAGTAGGGTTCACACAGGTTTATAAAAAAAATAAATACAATAAGTGCAATGAAACCAATTCTGCTGGTATTAGATTAAAATATAACCAACAGTTTTTCTTCTTTCTTGAGTTGAACTATTTGTGGTTTCTTCAGTGCTGATTGTTGACATCAAAGTGGACGCTGCACAACATAAATCACCATCACATTAAATACACCACATAGAAAACCTGAAGAGCTGCTGATTTCCAAAAAAAAAGGGAAGGTTGGTATTGCACAGATAAATGAGACGGTTTAGGTTGTGTGGATGAGGAGGCGTCCTGATCCAGCTGGGGTGAGTGGGGTCATGTGTCAGGGCAGAGCAGGACGGTCAGCAGCAGCATCAGCAGGCCCACTGTGAGGCAGCCGGGACTGTGGCTCGGCGCCAGGCCCAGGGACCTCCCTGCAGGGACACAGCCAAACAGTACCAATGGAGAGCCATGCAAAATATGACTGCTGTGGATTATCATCACAGCAACACTGTAAAAACCATTTCAGTGCACTGGCTGTGGCAGTGCCGACAGGGATGGAGCCGACGAGGTGCTTCCTTTGCTTCTGTTGTCTTTTTATTAAATCAGCAATGATGAAGTCCAAGAAGACAAAAAGGATTCACCTCAAGATGAGTGTCGTTCATTACTCAGAACCTGCTTTGAAATAAAACTAATTTCACAAACTCAGTTTTTAAAACAGAAGTAACTGAGATAAATGAATTAAAGCAAGAGTCCACACCGCAGGCTACGCTACCAGGCTCCTCAATATACCTTTAATTATGTGTTTGAAAAGATATGACAAGACCTGGATTTGGAAACTTCTGGAGGTGCTGTGAGAACAAAGTGCTGAAATCAATAGATGGGCTGCAACAGCTGTAGACTAAAAATAAATGCTTTTTGTCTTGTGTGATAACTTCTGAGCCGATGCTGCTGTTTGATGTGAGCACTGAAGACGGAGCCGGCCTCAGTCAGAGCTCAGGTATGGATGAGTTTATGTTTAGCAGATAAACAGGATTTGTAACTCTGAAAATTGCCCGTCTTTACGCTCATCTGTGGACAAATGAGTTTCAAAAGCTTCCACGGTTTACCTCTGAAGTCTATGGGCCGATCCTCCCAGGGAGTCAGCACCAGGGCGAGCGCTGTCCTCTGGACCTCGGACAGCTCGGCGAGCTGCTCCTTCGTTACTGCCACGGCCTGATCATAGGACAACATGGCGATCGCTTCAGGGTCAAATGTCACCTTGAGAAAATGGTGAAATGGAGAAGAAAACAGAGAAACAGAGAGGCAAGTTCAGGACGTGACAAAGTGGGAAAAAATGTCATAAATAATTCTAAAGTCCAAACCGGTTATGAAAAGTGTGAAACGGAGTCCTGCTGACTTACAGCAAACTTTTTATGTGGCATCATTGCTATAGCCAAAGGGGAGATTCCTTCGATCTGCCCTCTGACCAGCGCTGACATGGCCATGTCTGGAAGACCAGCTGGAGAACAAGCAGAGCAACAGTTACACTGAGCTCCAGCATGAAGGTCGCTGCAGACCAACAAATCGGCTAAGCAGCACAAAATAAAAGATCTGTGACAGATAATAAATCAGACGTCCCATTAACTCCACTGAGAATCCAGACTTTTCTAGTTTCGTGTCATTTGGTTCTCTACGATGCATGAAGCTACACAATGAACATCAGTGTGACTTAACGGCCACGTGGTGAAGACACAAAACAAGCAATACCTGCCAGGACTCCGATCTCAATAAACACATCAGTGCCCCATGAACTCATGCCTCCAAAGGCAAGGCTGTGGGTCAGCAGTTCAACAAGAGCCAGCAGCTGCTCCTCTGAGCAGGACAGCCGGAGCCGACCCAGCCACTGCACCGCCTTGCTGCAGCCACCAGGGGGAGACACAGCACCGGGAGAGAGCAAATCCAAACGTCAAGCTGGGCTGGGAAGGAAGCATCTTCAAAAGTTTCTGTGGTCATTTTGCTCACCTGAACTCCACATTATTGAAAGACTTTATCTCTGCAGTTGTAGCTCCACACACGATGTGTCCCATCGCCACCAGCGAGCTGGAGTCCAGCTGGCTCGGACTCTGCTTGGTGGAGTTCAACACGTTGAAAAACAGGACAGCCAGCTGGGACGACAGCAAACGTTAGGATTTAGATATGAGCTTCTGCACTCAGTTTATGACAAACACACAGCTAACATGAACACATTTCTTAAACACAATGCTGTGGTTATTTTTAAAGCTGCAGTTTGTGGTTCTGTAGGAATGCATGAGGTCATACTGGGAAGTGCTTCGTCATGTTGAGTCTGCTCTCACTGGGATGGAATAAAACAGTGTGAAAGAAAAGAGGAAAGCATCCAACCAAAAATGCAAAGTGAGATTCTAATCTCAATATCGACCAAACACGTCAAATGCATTCAGAGTCGTAAGTGCACGTGATGTGTCGGTTGCAGCTACCTGTCCACTGCTCCAGGTGCTGACGGCGCCCATAGTGGCGATGCTCCTTCGCTCAGTCAGGACAACGGCACCCAGCTCCTCCAGCGACATCTCTGTCACTACGGCACCCAGCTGAGACAACAGAGACTGGGAGAAGGAGGAAGCCGGGCCGTAGATCTGCAGACACGCAGCAGAAACAGAGCAGACAAACGATGAAGACCTGAACTGAGGAGGTCAACTTCTACGTACTGCCTCAAATTAAACACATCTGAGAGGCTGTTAAAGAAAATGCAGGAGATAACAAGTGAATCCCACCTCTTTGACCCTCTTGAGCACCTCCCCGCGTTGGTAGCGTGTGAAGAACGGGTCCTGACCGATCAGCTCCAGACAGCTGGAGAAGGCCGACGAAGGCATGTCCATCAGGCTGTCGGAGGTCCAGGCAGACGGAGCTGTGGTGTGCAGAATCTCACAGGTAGGAACCATAGGAGTCGCTGGCAGAGGACACAGGCACAGATCTCAGATCAGTTATCCGGTGATGGCCAGCAGCTGGAGGCAACGGGCCCGATGAAGACGCAGGCCGACACTTTCTTTTGTTCCTTCATTTATTTTTGCAAATTTTCTTTCTTTCATGAATAAAACAGATCAATCTAATCTGTTTAAGGGTTGCACTGAGCAGATGCCATTTTCCACATTGTCTAGTGAGTGCAAACAAAACAACAATAAACTCAGACGTATGTATTTGGTTGTAATTAGAGGTAATTAACACTCAATAAACAGTAACCTATTCAATTCATGATTAAGCTCTATTTGTTTAATCAGCATGCAGTGTGTCTGGACTGCCAGATATTTGTATTTCTGACTTTATTTGGTGCTACAAAGTGAAATGGGATTCATTGGGATTTGCACAAAGACTTGATTTTTCAGCAATTATGCAAAAGCTTTGGAGCAAACTATGAACTATGAGAAAACATGAGAAGAACACTTTGCTGGAGAGCCATTTGCCTGCCACTGCCGTCCAGCATGTCAATAAAGAGCAGACCATATGATGAAGCTGCAGATGGTTTGCTCCTGTATCGGACCTCTTAGCAGCAGCAAGGTTCTGCAGAACTCTTTATTATGTGTTTTCATTCACTCACTCACACCTGCACACGACTGCACCACCTTTTTATTTCATACACGGTATTTAAACAGCATTTTTGGCACGATCGCCTGACATTACAGGACTGGTTTGACATCGGACATCCATTGGTTGCCAGGCAACCTCACGGCCTCCATTTAGTGCCTGCACCCGTCCAAGAAACCGTTCTGTACATGTAGCTTTACAAAGAACCACAGTGGGTTGTTTTTGCACCTTATCATGAAGGAAAGAGTCAGAATGTGTTAACTGATGAGTTTCTGTCTGTAGATTCTGTTACGTTTCGGACGGAGCCAGACGAGATGTTATCTGATATCAATCTTCTCACCTAACTCTTGGCAAAAAAGGAGAATAAGCCTGTATCCTAAAATAGCCAAAGTCTTCCTTCAGTTTGGTTCATGTCTTGTTTTTCCTTAAAGGATGTGTGAAGTCTCATCACAGCGTGATGTTATGTCAGAGACTGTCGGAACCAAAGTGATGCTTACGTGAGTGGAGGAAGATTTTGAGGAAGCCCAGGAAGAACTGCAGAACAAACTGCTCGTTTTCAAAGATCATCTTCCTCTCCTGGTCGTTTAAACAGTGCTGCCCCACGTCGCCGCTCTCCCACTGGTGCTGGCTCATGAACAGCTTCTCTATGCGGCCCACTGTCATCAGCGGCTGTGGGAACAACAGCAGCACACATAGAACCACGGTTTACAGGAAAACAGGTAGCTCACCACCTGATCCTGACACCTGCTGGAGATGTGACACCTCGGGGATTTCTTTACAACCCTCGTTGGCCAAACGTGTCATGGGATCAAGTTCCAATCACAAAGCCCCACTACGGCCGGTACAATAACAAATTCGACCTTTTCCTCAATCTGGGGAGAAAACTGTCCAGTTTCAGGGACAACGAAGACACAATGCTGAATGAATGAAAAACAGACTCACCCTGGAAATCTCCTGCAGCCTGTTCTGGGGCAGGAAGAAGAGAAAGCGGCCCACCTGACTGAGTGTTGTCTGGCTCCAGCTCTGGACGGGGCTGTGAGGAAACATTAGAGCACTTCATCATCTTTCCACAGTTTCCAGTTGTGAGCATGGCTGGCTGCACAGAGCTGCTGTCACATGAGGCTTCTTCCAAATAACTGGAATCATTTTCATGTGTTTTTCTTTTCACTGTAAATGTACGTGTCACAAACGCCACAAAACTCCACAATGCACATCTTTAAAATGCTGATATGTGAAAAAAAATGTGCTAAATAATTCAGTTCTCATAATGGAAAGCCATCACACGCATGAAGACCATCTGCACGGGAAGCCTTCCTAATGTTTATGGAGAGTTCTGGCTGCGTTGCAAATACCTGCAATGTCTGAGTTAAAAAGCTGAACATGTCATGTTGAGATGTGCAAAGAAAAACTGGTGACGCCTTCCAGTGTGTAAAGTTGTCCTGAAGATGGTCAGATCTTCATGGAATTATGGACAAACACCAGATGTTCCAGCTGTTAACACATGGTTGTCATGGTTCTGTGTCGGCTGGAGCGACTGTGTGAACCTCGAGGCTGCCGACGTCAGCAAGAGATAGTTGGAGCGAAAAGTTGGCAAAGTTTACTGAACTGTTTGACTTACAAGAAAAACCACTGAAACACGGGTTGTAGGCTACGGAAAGTATCTGCTCATGTGAGTCTCTAACAAAAGATCTCAGAAGGCTCACAGTGAAGAACTGGTCATTCATCTACTCATGAAGGACTCACTGGTGCTGGTTAACGTTGTGGTCACTGGTGAACATCTACCACAAACAAATCATGTAAAGCATCACTGTGGGCCCAAAGAGCGCCTCGACACTGAACAGCACTACTGTGGAAATTCATTGTGGACTTTTGGAACTAAAGTTAAATTGTTTGAGTCAAACAAACGGCACTATAAAAAGGCACCAGCATAAAACCAGTGGCTGTTGGGTTGGGACCTGGCGATCATCAGCCTGATGATGTAATGATCAGATCTGCGTATCTGACAGAGGAACGTCAGAGAGCATGTGCATGGTTCTACTGCCTGCTTATGTGTAAACTCATTGTTGAATAAAATGTGAAAAAAACGGGCTTTTCCTGCCACAGCTCAGGTTTGTGATAACGTTACCCAAAGACAGCGGGCTCCTCCAGGATACGAGCCAGGAGTTTCATCTTGTCGCTGCTGTAGCAGAGCTCTTTGAGCAAATCCAGATTCTCAGTGAAGAATCTGCGGTCGACCTGAATGAAAACCGTGTCCGCCACAAACGGCGCCATGATGCCCAGCGAGCGGAACTCGTCCTCGGTGAACACGCCGGTGTACATGTTCTGCAGAGAGGGAGCAGGAGGGAGTTCAGTGAGTGTTTCCTACGTTAAAACACAGGCAGCACAGTAGAAGTCATTAAAGTGAGTCCGCTGGTGAACGCTGACGTGGACGTGAGGAAACCTGTGATCACTGAAATTAGGAGCAGCTGTGATTTTTAGCCTCGCTGCATGAACATGGTCATAAAATGAGCTGTAAAAGCCAGAGTGGCTGAATGAGCTCCGTCTGTCTGATGCACACGTCACGGCTCCACAGTCGCATTGTGACGCTTTAGAAACGATACAGAAAGATCGACACAACATGTTAGAACACAGCTGGAGCAGGTGAAGAACCAGCGCCGCTGATGTTGGTCTGAACCAACCACCGGGCAAGTGCTGTCACAGGGGGTATCAGTAATCAATAACCAATAATAAGATAATAACAAAGATCCACACTGCTGACTGTGGATTTCAATCTTCTTCTGGTTTCTTGTTAATCAATAGAAAAGCACAGAGGAGAAGTGAAGCTGTTCTTACGATTCTCTGCACTATCTTGTCCACCAGCAGCT